AAGGATACGAATGCGGCAGCAAGCGTGAGAACACGTGAGAACTGGTGAATGGTGAAAAAGGCCCACCCTAACCTGGGAATGAGTGGGCCCGTGTTGGATAGTGAGACCCAACCAATGGTGTTTTAGGGGGCTTCCTGGCTCTTTGAGCTGTGGTCCAAGTGTAGTTTTATTTTAATAATAGGAATGTTTTAAAGGAGGGGCTCAATAATGTACAGTGAAAAAAATGAATCTAGAAATAATAAATACTGAAAAACATTCCTGACTCTATAGCTAACATGAGAGGGTCTAAATTAGCTGTTACCCCTCAAGAAAGAGGTCTTAGAGTTATTGTAGAGAGGTTTCTGCAACCATCTGCTCAGTGTCCAGTAGTAGTTTAAAAAAGCTAACACAATATTTGGAATCGTTAGGAAAGGGACAGATAATAAGACAAAAAATATAATGCAACTCTATAAATCCATGGTACACTCACAGCTTGAATACTATGTGCAGTTCTGGTCACCCCCTCGCCAAAAAGATATATGAGAACGGGAAAAGGTACAGAGAAAGGCAACAAACATTAGGAGGAGTGTGGAACGGCTTCCATAAGAAGAGAGATTTCAAAAGACTGGGACTGTTCAGCTTAGCCAGAGACAAGGGAGGAGGGATATGAGGGCCGTCTATAAAATCTTAAATGGAGTGGGGAAAGTGAATAAGGAATGATTTACTCCTTTACATAACACAAGAACCAGGAATCATCCAATGAAATGAATAGACAGCAGGTTTAAAACAAACAAAAGGCAGTATTTCTTCACACAACGCACAGTCAACCTGTGGAACTCATTGCCAGAGCATGTTGTGAAGGCCAGATGTATAATTGGGTTTAAAAATAATTAGATAAGTTCATGGAGGATCGGTCCATCAATGGCTATTAGCCAAGATGGTCAGGGACGCAACCCCACGATCTGGGTGCCCCTAAACCGCTGACTGCCAGATGGTGGGACTGGACAACAGGAGATGGATCACTCACTAATTGCCCTGGTCTGCCAGTGCTTCGGAAACATCTGGTGCCAGCCATTGTCAGAAGACGGGATACTGAGCTAGCTGGACCATTGGGCTGACCCCTTAAGTTATGCTTGGATTTGTTTTGCCTAAAACCTGTTGTGAGCCTCATTTGTGAAAAAGAAAAGTAGTTCAGTGTTGTGAGCTAATGCTGGTAATGCCCTGGTAAAGCAGCAATGAGTTAGCACTGTTGTAGTCTAACGAATTTATTGCACTGACAAAGCAGGGCTTTGAGCCAGCTAACTTCGGCTATTAACTTGATGCACTGGCAAGCAGAGATTTCAAAATGCAATCGCAACCCTCCTTTGTCTCCACTGTTGACCAGGGGACAGCTTCCCCTCCACAGTGACATCTAGTGGCCCATTTATATACTGCACATAAAGGTATCACTGTAGGGATGCTAGGAAGAGGGATGAGTGTTGCCGGATCTTGTCTCCATCTAGTGGCCGGCCAGCATTACTACAACAAAAATGCTACCGACGCCCAGCTGGGAGAGTTAGGCCAAGATCCTCAAAGCTATTTAGGTAGCGAACTCCCATTCGACACCTAAATACCCATGAGAATCTGGACCTAACTCCCATAGCTGAGATGGCGGAGGGGGTCTGGGCTTTTCCTGCTGAAGATCCTGTGTTTCTCCATGGTGCTCAGTCCTCCAGACGTTCTGTCTCCCCTGCTGGTTCAGCAGTTCCTTTGGCCTGGGCTAAGAGAGAGGTATGGAGGTTACTGTCCCATCACTAAAAAGCTGGGCCTACAGTCAAGTGGCAGCCCAGGCATGTGAATGCCAGAGGCCCACGGATGGGAGGGCTCCCCCCAGATTTTGCCTGGAGGCCAGAATATCCCTCATCTCTATGGAAAGCGGAAACTGGCTGATGGGAGCATATTATGTAGTCCTTTTCCCTCTAGGGGGCACCGGCTCCAATCCATCCCCAGGCTGGGGGGACTGGCTAGCTCAGGTACTGGGTGACACAGCCCCTCACTGCACCGGATTGTGCCCCAAATTGTGACACTCACCCTTGAGCCGCTGATAGTCTGGGACCAATGGTGTCAAGATGCCACAGAGCCGGGCGGGCGACGTCCCCTCCACCTGAGGCGGCTCCGTTCCGACACGGAAAAAATTCTTCTCTGTGGCATTGTAACGAGGCCACTGCTCCCCGCTGCCTCCTGCCCCTGTGGGGTTCCTGGGGGGAAATGCAACTATAGTCAACATAGGGGGGAAGGGAATGAATTCCAGCCACAAGGGGGCAGACAGGAGGATGCCCTGACCAGGTGACCTTCACTACAGCAAGTGGCAGCAGAGAGGGACAGGGACTTAGCCAGCCACCCACAGTCTCCAGCCAAGTCTCACTAAGGCTTCCCACGAGCTAGGAAGGATCAAGAGCCAAACAAGCCAGTTTTGCCCTCTTCCAAAATGGCCACCCCGCCATGTTGTTCTTCACGGGCTGAAGTCACAGGCTGCCCTCTGGTGGTGAAGTGGGGAAATGGTGGCTGCTGTCATGCCAGCTGCCAGGTTGATCTGATATACAGTTCTCTGGCTCCGATGGGGAAGTGGGAAGGGCTCAGGACCAGCTGGCAGGTGTAATTTGCATAGATATCCCAAGCGTCATGTAGTACCCCCCAGCTGCATAATTGGGGCTTTCCCCAGCTTCCACGCTCACAATCTGTCTCACATTGGCTGTGTGACCGCAGGGACATGAATGAGGTGGAAAGGCTTAGAGCCAGGGGATGTTAGTGATTGGGAAACATGGCTCACTGTAACCTGGGAGTCAATGGGCCCAGGTTGGCTAGTCGGGACCAAGTTATTGTCAGATTTCAGAGGGGAAACTTTGTTGTTTTATTTAGCATGGTAGCTATCGGGGTTGGGGGAAAAGAAATAAACAGGAGTGTTATGGTCTAGTAATTAGCAATAGGACTGGGTTCCACCTGTCCTGGGGACACCAAATTTGAATGCAGCTTTGTGGAGCAAAGCTGAAAGTGCAGGTAGAACTAGGCCTGCTGGCACTCAGGGTTGCGACTTCTTAGGAGTTCCCTTACCCACTTCTGGCGAACTCTGCCCAGTAGCGCATCACTCTGCGGCTCAGTGCCACCTCGGCCTCCGTGTGCGTGTGATTGGCTCCCCCCATGGACGCCAGGGTCCCAAACAGGTAGGGCACCTCGGAGCCATGTGGCACCCCCATCCACTTGGGGGAAGACAAGCCACTGGGGCGGTGGGTGAAGGTGTAGGCATACACGGGACCGCCGGCCTCCGCCATCTGCCCAGCCGTCTTGGCTATAGGGCACACCACATGATAGTCACTGATGATGTGAGCCATGGTGCGGTGGTACCACGCCGAGCCCTGCCCCTTCTGGTTGTACCGCTCTGCTGCCGCCTGGACGCCCTCCCATGGTAGCCCCGGCATTGTCACCCTCAGCACCTCCAGCAGCTCCTCCCAGCTCACGTGGCTGGCGTTCACCCTGGTGAAGTTCAGGACATTGATGATTAGGTAGGAGCCTTCGTTGGCCGTGACACCGGCCAGGAGGGGTATAGGCTGGCTGTGCCCGGCCTCCAGGAGTCTCAGTGGCTCATCGGGGAGGAAATCCCCGTCTACGGTCGGCACGGACCCAGGCATGGACATAATGCGTTTCCCAAAGTCTCCCGGCTCCTTCCCCTGCAGGCAGCCCACCAGGGCAGTGTCATTGAAATCGGTGCAGCCCAGATCACGGCCCAGTGCCCGGCCTATCTCCTTGGCCATTTCTGGGCTAAACCAGGCCAAGGGAAAGGTGGTGGCACCGCTCTGCAGCGCGGCGCGGGTGAAGAGGGGCCGGCTCCCCGGGGACAGGAGGTGGAAACCGACCGAGGCGGCCCCAGCACTCTGGCCGAAGAGCATCAAACGAGCTGGGTCCCCGCCGAAGGTGGCCATGTTGTCCCGCAGCCAGCGCAGCGCCAGGCGCTGGTCCCACAGGCCGGCGTTCCCCGGGGCGGCCGGGGGCAGGGACAGGAAGCCCAGCGCCCCCAGGCGGTAGTTCATGGAGGCCACGATCACATTCTCGGTGGCGGCTAAGAAGCGCCCATCTTGGAGCTCCAAGGAGGCTGCACCTACGAAGAACCCCCCGCCGTGGATCCAGACGAGGACGGGGACCGGCGCGGGGGGCCGGGGATGGGGCACCCAGACGTTGAGGAAGAGGCAGTCCTCGGACTGCGGCGTTTTGGGTGTCCACATATAGGCATCAGGGTAACCAGTAAGCAGCGGCTGGTGGCAGGCGTTGCCAAAGCTGGTGGTCTCCAGGACGTGGCTCCAGGGCTGGTGGGGAAGCGGTTTCTGGAAGCGCAAGGCCCCCACGGGGGGGCTCGGCGTAGGGGATGCCCAGGAAGGCCGTCACCGTGCTGGAGCCGGCCGGGAGGCGCTTGCCCCGGATGGGGCCGCTGGTGGTGAGCACCACGGTGCCGTCGTCATCGGAGCCAGAGCTGGAGCCCGGCAGGGAGAGGAGGAGCAGGCAGGGGAAGAGTCCCAGCATCGCAGCAGCTGGAAGGGAAGCCCCCCTAGAGGGAGTTACAAGGAACTGGGACCTTTCCCCTTTAGGGGGCGCTGGTTCCAATCCAACCCCAGGTCACGGGGGAATGGCTGGCTAGGGGAGTGGGGAATGGGATGTGGGGCCCTTCCCCTGCTGGGGGAGTTGCTCTGCTGCAGCCCAACCTATTTAAACCCCCATGCGAGCAGGAAGCCTGGCTCCTTTTTGGTAAACACTGTCTCCGGTCAGTCACCCCCACCCCGCCCCTGGCTCCAGCTCTCCGCTGAGTTCTCAGATCTGTATCACTGGGCTTTGCCCTTTGGCCCATTTCCCTCTGCAACAAGAGGCCCCTTAATGCCAGGGGGAAATGCTGAAAGGCTGGGACAAAAATCCACATGCCCCCTTCCCCAGGGGCAGCTCCAGGCACCAGCGCAGCAAGCGCGTGCCTAGGGTGACAAGCCGTGGGGGGGGGGCAGCCTGCCGGTCGCTGTGAGGGCGGCAGGCAGGCGGCTTTCGGCGGTGCGCCTGCGGGAGGTCCGCTGGTCCCGCAGCTTCAGCGGCAATTCGGCAGCGGGTACGCTGAAGGCGCGGGACCGGCGGACCTCCTGCAGGCATGCCGCCAAGTCCGCGTTACCAGCAGACCTCCCGCAGGCGCACCGCCGAAAGCCGCCTGCCTGCCGTGCTTGGGGCGGCAAAAAACATAGAGCCGCCCCTGCCCCTCCCGGAGCTGGAGAGAGAACCCAGGTGTCCCAGCTCCCAGCCCTCCCACTAATCCACTAGACCCCACTCCCTTCCCAGAGCTGGAGAGAGAACCCAGGAGTCCTGATTCCTGATTGATAGGACTCCTGGGTTCTAGCCCCCGCTCTGGGAGGGGAGTGGGGTCTAATGGGTTAGAACAGAGGGGGCTGCGAGTCAGGACTCCTGGGTTCTCTCCCCAGCTCGGGGAAGGGAGTGGGGTCTGGGCATCAGGACTCCTGGGTTCCATCCCCAGCTCTCAGCATGGGGTCTGTGGAAGGGGTATTAGCTGGGACGCTACCAGTTCCCAATTCCAGCTCCCCTGACACCAGTCACCCCTTGACCACACTCTGCCCATCGCGGAGCCCGAGGGACACCCCCCCCCAGCTACACAGACTCACCTGCTGCAGGCACGGCTCTGTGGCTCCTACTGCAGATCCCAGCTCAGCACGATGGGGGGGATCTGCTGATGCTGGAGCCAAGCGGCTCTCGTCTCTGGCACTGACAGCACCAGCCAGGACGCAGCCACCTGAGTTTATTTACCCTGGCAGCAGCAAGCTCGCTGGGCTGTGCACACATAGGGCCCAGGTTCAAGGTGGCTGGAGGGATCCCGGGGCAGGGTCCATGGGTTCAGAGACCCAATTCGGCACCTCTGGGGTACGGTAGCAGGGTCACAGGCTCACTGTGAAATGCAGCCGCTTCTGGGGTGGGGCAGCTGGGGCCCAGCCGCACAGCACAGCTGCCTTGGGCTCGCTTGCTGCTGCTGAGATGCGGCTGGCTCTAGGGTGGAACAGCGGGGTAACAGGAGGTGAAGGGGAAATCCCACAGCCAGTTCAACCCACAGCTGGATTTTGGTGGCGCCAGAAGGGAAGCCCCCATTGGGGGGAAGGGATGGGACATTTTACACTTGAGGGGTCAGGGTTCCAGCTGTGTCTTGGGCTTGAAATGGAAAAAGGCAAGAGGTAGGCGAAGATGTTCATTAGCCCTGCCCACAAGCCAAGCCCCGCCCACCAACCTAGCTCCGCCCTCTCGAGGTGCCAGCAGGGCGCCCCGCCCGCCATCCAGGAGTCTGTTCATCTCTGTTCAAAGTAGGATCCCGCGGGCTCTGCTGAGCTCCCCACAACACATTTCAGAGACATGCTCGGGCAAGCAGAGAGCTGAGCCCATCACTCTGACAGGGGGGAAGCTGCCCCAAGTTTGCCCGAAGCAGCAACACTGCCTGAGTCTGCAGAGAGCCTGAGCCCATTGTTCTGAAGGGGTAGCAGGACTGAGGGGGTCTCAATAGAGCTGTGGAGGGGATGGGGCGCCCAGGGCTGAAATAGCAGGTGACCTAAGGGTCAGGCTTGTGGGTCATTGGCATAGCTTGTTGGTGGGCAGGGAGCAAGCCCAGGGTGGGAGAGTGGGGGGTGGGGCTGCAGTCAGAGCTGTACCCCTATCTGCATAATCCCCCTGTGTCCCCGCATCCCTCCCCACTGCATGGGTAGCATCCACTAAATATCTCTCATGCCAGCAGGCCCAATGTTCTTTAATACATTCAGGGTTCATCTGGGGGAAGGAGAGACTTGGGGATCGGGGGGCCGGGGGGGAGAACTCACTCCCTT